ATAAAAATAGTAAAGTAAATTATCTATATACTTATTTTTGTGTGTGTGGTGCCAATGAGACTTGCTGTTCCATGAGACGTTTCCCTTCGATGCTCTCGATAATGTTTGCTTTCAATTCAATTTTGATTTGTGGAATGAGTAAATTGCCGATCGACTCGTTTTTGGAGCTTTTGTGATTTTTCACTGGAAATGTAAAACCAAACAAAAATGATACTAGTTACAAAACATGGTTTGCAAAAGCAAATTGAAACTTACATTCATCATCATTAATTTTTACCTTCTTATCTGTATCATTAGACAGGATTTTCAGCGTTCCATTTGAGAAACCAAGAGCTATATATTTTTCATTCGAGCTGACCGATGATACAGGCACCTGGTATTCAAGTGCACTATGATCGTCTTGTTTGCTCGAATTCTCATTGAACATCATCAATTTATAGCTGTTTGTTGCGAACAAAATACATTTTTTGATGCTTCATCCACGCTAAAAGACAAACTGTACTCAAATCGGGAGCACTCGAAGTTTTACTGATGTTGAATGTACCAACCCGAAGATTTGAAAAGTTCGTATTAAGAATATTCAAAAGAAGACTGTGACTGGTGCTCTGGCCAATGCTTCGCTGTTGCCTAAATTGAACAATAAACACAATGACTCTATCAATTCTCTATGAGTTGTGGCTTCTTTTTTGTCTATATCTTTCGCGTCTGCCGGTTCATCCAATGAATCTTAACACTTCAGCACTTTGTTCAGGCATTCCTGCAAAGGTTGACGGCATATTTTTGGATCGAATCGATCAATTGGATCTTCAACTAATCTGAAATTATTTGATTGAATCAATTAATTTAATTCTTACGAAAATTAACTTCATCGATTATCGGTCACTCGAAATTTGTCAAGGAATATGATTTTAACCTATACAATGAGTAAGAAAGGAACATGATCATCGGTTCAATTAATTCAATGGTGGTAACTGCGTCCAAATCTTGCATGACAATCTCTTGGCGAACGGCACGCAATCGATCAAAAATAAAATCATAGGCAACATGATTGGGTTTTCGATCATCTCGAATGATTTCCGTTAGCAAATAGTTTACAGTGCGTTTTAAACAATTTTTCGTTCTCAAACTTTGTGGTTGTGGGAGTTTGAACACCAGCCGCCGATCTGGCAAATTCTTTGACTAGTTTTCGTTCGTCCACAATATAATCGCCGGCTTTCGATGGTTTTCGTTCGAAAAAATGCAGCAATTTCTCTCTGGTTCGCCTGTGAATTGAAACATGTTTTTTATCCGAAAAAATAAGAGAATATCGAAAGCAGTACATACAATTTGATTCCATTATCTGGACACATTGCCTCACAAGTTTCAATCATTGAAGATTCCATTATTTAAACGGGAATGTTTACAATTATGCACTGTTTACTATGAATTTTTACTATTCTCTGCAGCGGAGCGAATGTCATCAAAGCGGTATAGTTGATGAAACTGAACATGAGGTGAATTCGCACGTGGTGAATTTGTCGTACATCATGACACTCATGTTCGTACCGTGCAACTGTATTTGTGAGATTGGTTCATAACGATATGTCAAACGGTTTGACATCTCATTTCACAAACATTGTTGATTGCTTTCGGTTGTTCGGTTATTCTAACTAATAAACACGAATTTTCGATAGATTTCGCTTTCAAATTTCGACCACTTAATAGAAACATTCCTAGTTCTTGCATACTTCGCTTATTTGGACGCTAAAATAACATGTCTGGCTACGATGTTCATGACGATGGTCCCGGCTTTGTCGGCATTCGTTTCTGTCAGGAATGGTAAGTAAATTACATTGAAATTACATTGATTGAAGACGACAAAATTTTCTTGATTTATATTAATTAACGAATTTGTTTTCATCGTTTTTCTTCAGCAACAACATGTTGTATCCGAAAGAGGACAAAGAACTGAAAATTCTGCTGTACGCATGCCGTAACTGTGATTACAAACAAGAAGCCGACTCCAATTGCATTTATGTCAACAAAATTATGCACGAAATTGAGTAAGTTAAGCTAGTTTTATGCAAATGCTTGATTTTTGATTGAGAAAAGATGAAAATAGGCGCTGATTTTAATCACCCTATTGAATCATTTTCCCAGTGAATTGACACACATCGTGCCGGACGTCATATCGGATCCAACATTGCCGCGGACTGAAGATCATGCTTGTCCAAAGTGTGGTCATCGAGAAGCGGTGTTTTTCCAAGCCCAGACACGGCGCGCTGAAGAAGAAATGAGATTGTACTACGTTTGCACCAACCCAAACTGCACACATCGATGGACTGAATAGATTTGCCATCTCCAAATTATCGCATTAAGATACACAATTTGTAATAAGCTAGCGTCAAGACATTTCTTTGATGAAATAAATAAACATTAACAGTCAGTGAATATGAATATGCACTCATTTACTTTCTTAGTGAAACTAAAAAGACGAGCATCAGCTGTGATACCGGCAACTGAAATAATGCCGATTCGAATGAGGCGTATTTCGATCAATCAAGCAGATTCTGCTCTTTGCAGAAACATTCAATCGTTGAATTAACAAAGACGAATTTTTAGTAACAATTAGCTGTTTTAGCTTGTAATTTCATTCGATATGTGTTTAAGAAATGAAATGAACAGTTTATGCGATGGAATGGAATTTTTGTTTTTAATGATATCAACATTTCCTCAGTGGAACTTCCGATTGAATATCAACAGTTGATTCCAATGGATGGCAGTTCAATTGGATGCTTCTACCTTCAACTTTGTACCAAGCAAGGTGACGACCCGAGTAGCAAATTTCCCCTTTTTCTCGGTTGCAAATGGGTTACTATAATTTAACACTTTGACGGTTCTTCACACTTTTTACCTATTTCTGTTCTTTGGGGACTCCAGGGCCCCATATGTACTTCATATCTATTGACTAGATCGAGAGGAGAGTAAGTTCATCTGACTTTGTTACGAAAGAGGAGAGTAAGTTTCTTTCGACTCAAAAATGGTTAAAGGCGAGTATGTTCATTTTTGGCGGGTCCTCGCGGTTTTCCACGGTTTCCGCGGAACTGATAAGAGATAACAACTTGGTGTCTTCGGCAAAGTTGTAGCACTCGAGGTCTTCTATAACATTGCTGAAGTCAATTATCTCTTATCTCTTATCAGTTCTAGTCTAGTACTCAAGCTGCTTCACAACTTTGCCGAAAACCATCTTGTTATCTCTTATCAGTTTCGAGGAATACGCGAGAAACCGCTGAAAACCGCGAAAAAAACGCGTTTTTTCTTATCATTTTTCACGGAACTGATAAGAGATAACGAGATGGTGTCTATGGCAAAGTTGTAGCTCTGGTCGAGTACTATGATTTGCTACAGATCCCAGGTCGTTATCTCTTACACCGTACAACACATCCTCTCACACATGGACACTTTCAATGCAGGA